TTTTTAATAAAAACATTTAATTTGGTTATAGGAAACTATGATAGTCTGTGTAGCTTTTGGGACTTTGGTTGGAAATCATGGATTACTAGACCAGTGGCCACCTACTAAAAAATTCGATTACATTAAGGATAAAAAGAAATACTCCTAATTCTGGTCTTAGTTTAAGCTCACAGTAAAATTTTCTGGGCATCAGTGGCATTTGACTGGAGGAATTCAGAAGTTATGACACATTCTTGTATTGTTCTCTTTGGTTTAAGGATATCGAGAGAGAGTTCCTCCTTCGCATGTCGTATATGGAAATTTACAATGAAGAAATAAATGACTTGCTAGCTCCAGAGCATAGAAAACTGCAGATTCATGAAAGTATTGAGGTAATAATTTATGGTTTCATTATATTCAACTGAGAGTTGTTACTGAGAAGAAAGAATATATAGTTTACACAAAAGACATATGTGCGATTTACTTAAGAGTACATCTGTGAAAAATGTAGCGAGGAATCTTTGTTGCCGGATTGAGAGAGGAGATTGTAGCTTCACCTGAACAAGTTCTCGAACTCATGGAATTTGGGGAGTGTAAGTTTTTTACACTGTTTAATTTATTATATGTTTCTTATTTTTTTCCACTTTCCAGTGATAGAGTTTCCTTAGAACTTATATTGTATAGTTGGCTTATGAGATACAAGTCTCTCTACTCTCTGTCCCTTCGTAAATATGAGAAGATAGAGAAACTTTAACCTCACTTCAGCACTGCTGATGTTTGTTCCCTTTATTTTTTCTGGTTTGTCATTACGTGTTCACTTAAGTATGATATTCTGGACACTCATCTTCTATAAAAAACATGAGAACAAATAAAAATAGAAGAAAGATGACAACTTTTTGAATCATATTTCCTTGTAATTTACAGCTCATCGTCATATTGGAGAGACGAATATGAATGTATACAGCAGTCGATCACACACAATCTTCCGCATGGTATTTGTGTTATAACCTAGTTACTGCCACATTCATGACCTATCAACTGACTAATATATGTTTGTTTAATATAGATTATTGAGAGCAGGGAGAGAAGTGGTGATGTGGCAGCAGAGTTCTCATGTGATGCTGTTCGAGTCTCTGTTTTGGTAGCAATCACCTTTCTGTTTCTTCATTTCAAACTATAAAATGCATGTTTTTCTACTGAATTGAGTGTCTCTTCAATTCTATCTTTCCGACATTCTTAATACGATGATTATATACCTTTTCTATTATATAAATGCAAAATATACTGGTTTTGTGGGTATTAATTTAGTGGCACCATGAAAAGTGAGAACAACCCTTTTATCCACTACTAGAAACCATATATGGAACAGTAACGGAGTTCCTTTGCATTGAGCATTGAGTGATATGGAAGCATAACTTTAGTTCCATAAGGCTCTCTTTTGTGCTGTGCCTCGTATTCCTTCAGAGTTAACTTCCAAATGGTTTTTCTTTGTCTGCTTCCTTCTTCTGCAGCACTATTGCTGGGTACATTTTGTTTCTTTTCGGGTTGGGTCAATTTCTGTTGAAATTTAGTTCTTAGTGATTCTAAAAGAGGCTTCAGTGTCATCTTCAAATGTAGAAAAAATATATTATTTTTGTTACAGGGTATTTTCTTTGGCTACTTCCATTTAAACATTTTGTTGTTCCGCTATCCTCATGTTTCCAGTCATCCATTTCTTGCTATTTTGTATGTGTTTATTCTCTCCAGGTTCATCCTCTTGTTTGTTTTACTTACCTTTTCCTTCTGGTATTGGGTCAACTTCTGTAGAATTTGGTGGATCTGGCTGGTTCTGAACGTGCAGCTAAGACTGGAGCTGAAGGTGTTCGCTTAAAGGAGGGCTCCCACATCAACAAAAGCTTGATGACCTTAGGAACTGTTATAAAAAAACTGAGTGAAGGTGCTGAGAGCCAAGGGTAAGTCTAAATTGGTAATGAGCTCATTTACTCAAGACTATTATAGCAGTGATGTATTTCCCAAAATATTGCAGAGGGCATGTCCCTTATCGAGACAGCAAACTCACGCGTATTTTGCAACCAGCGTTGGGTGGGAATGCAAATACTGCCATAATTTGCAATATTACACTTGCACAGGTGATTTTGAGAATTATCTTTCCTTGAAATGATATGAATCTTTATGTTGATTTCTCGAAGAAAGGTCAAAGGATTATCAATGATACCGCATTTTTATTTGTATCAATTTGGCAATGCAAGTCTGCACTACATGTATTGGATTCACTTGTAGGTTACAATTCTTACGATTCTTTAAGATGTATTTATCGATATTGCCTTTCCTCCTTATGTCTTTTTATCAGGTGTATGCTTTTAGTTAGTTTCTTATCTGTAGCAAAGAGATCAATATTACAAGGTCATTAGTGCCTTTGAGAATTGAATGTTGGTTGAGGTTGGTATGATGCTCCAGGGTGAAACTAGAATTAGACCTCGTTTGAAAATGTTTATGCTGGAAGCTTGGCCCTCTGTTAAACTTAAAATGCTTATTTGTTTCTCTTAGTCCTATTTACTTATTGAACTATTCATATGGGACTTTGGAATTTAAAGTTTGAGGATTTATCTTCTTTCCAGAGAAATTTGAGCTGTTTTTCTTTGTGTGCCTGTGCAACTGTTGATGCTCATCCATCCTGTGCTTGCTTATAATTGCAGATCCATGCTGATGAAACTAAAAGTAGTCTTCAGTTTGCTAGCAGAGCATTGCGCGTGACAAACTGCGCTCATGTCAATGAGGTAATACCCTTGAGTGACAACCTCTTTATAATTGTACTCCTATAGACGCTAATCACCGTCTTTGAAAATATCTAGCTTTTACCTGAATTATTATTTTTAGTACCAATCTTCTCACTTGTTTTCAGGATAGGTTATCTGGAAACCTGTCTCTTTGTTACTTCATACTTCAGAGTGACTTCCTCACTTCTTTTACTGTTGTTGTAGTTGATCTTGTCTTATGTAATTGCAGATATTGACTGATGCTGCGTTGTTAAAACGTCAAAAGAAGGAGATTGAAGAACTTCGAGCTAAATTGCTGGTAGGTATTGTGTTAGGACCTAGTGTGGCATGTTATGATATGAGATTTTAGTTACTGCATTAGTGGTCATGGTAGCCGATACTCTGTGCACCAATAGGCTAAAAATAGGTTCCTCTATCTTCACCGTTGACCAAAGGAAACTAGTGAGGCATTTATGTTTGTTTGTTCACAGGGTTTACACTCCGAACATCTTGAAGAGGAGATATTGAATCTGCGGAATACTTTGCTAAAGGTACTTCATTTTTTTACCATAAATTAAGTCGCATGCATATGTTCTAAGGGATGTTATCCTTCGGTAGAGTGAATTGGAGAGAGAGAGAATCTCTTTAGAGCTGGAGGAAGAAAAGAGAGCTCAGGCTGAACGCGAGAAGAGGTTACAAGAGCAAGCCAAGAAAATAGAAAACTTGAGTTCTATGGTACTTTGTGCAAACAGAGAAGAGACAAGTGACGTCTACAAGAAGGTATGTTATCTGTCAAAATGTATCTTTAATGAGTATTGACTTGGCCTTTGTTTTCTCTTTTAAAAGGTTTATACATAGGATCTTTTGTTGAAAGTAAATAGTTTATTGTCTTCTCATTATTTATGGTAAGAATTCCTATAAGAAAAAGCAAGTTACAGTAGATCATTATAGCTGCTGTCATGTCCTACAGTGACTTCATAGATCCAATTGCCTTCAATTTGAGTTGAAAGCATCTGTTACTTCTCAGAAGCCTTTTGCAGTCATGATCAAAGCTAATGCAGTATTTTATTTTCCTTTCCTGTCAACTCTTCAAACCTGGATGAACCATTTTGTTGCTTCATGGATAAGAAGCATGCATATGCTATCACCCTCTATTCTTTGTTCTCCATTACACTCTGTTCCGGTTTTACCATTCTTTCTCAAAACGTGCCACTAACTATACTCTTGTTTCTGATTCTAACAATCAGGAGATGGGAATCTTCTTCCATAGGTTTTTCTCCAATTTAATAAAAATAATAACACTTTATCCGCATGGTTGTATTGTGTGTGTTCTGAATGGTAGGCAAAAAGACGCGATACCTGGTGCCCTGGAAATCTTGCAAGAAAGAAATTAAAAGAGGTAACAATTTTACTTCTCTGACAATGAGTTACGAAACTCGTGCTTTCACATCTTTTCTTACCACGTGTTGATGCTTAAACGGAAGCAATTATTATCATTTTTATAATGTTTTATGATAACATGCTATTTCAGTTCTTATACAGCATGGGCTAGTATTTGAAGTTGTTACTGATGAGTGACAACATATATTTTTAGACAACCTGATTGGACTTACTGTGAATTTGTTTCCACATCATATGGATTTATTTTAGCAACCGGTTGCCTTGAGATCTTAAGACCTTCATATATTCCGTATGAACAACATTTGTTTGCCTTTAACATTTTAGTAATTACTGGTTTACTAATGTATATGAGAATCCATTGACATTCTTCCTTGTTGCTATAGTTGTCGCCTGTAGTTGAAGAGCACCTCTCAGAAGTGAAATCAGCAAGAACAGATCAAAGAGCAGTGGGGTCACTTCTTCCTTTTGAAGAGTTAGTTAAAGAAGAAAGTACTAGTGAGTGTAGCAAACAAGAAGAAGACTGTAAACGCAGTGCTTTGGAAGATCTTAGTCTTCCTGATCCTCATGCTCTGCTGCATGTTACCAGTAGGCGAAAAGTTGCACCCAAGAAAAGAAGTTCAACTATGGTTCTTAACATGTTATATATTTTTCTTTACATTTTCAATTTTCTCTGGAAATTAACTGCTTCTTTTGCAGGAGAGCGATGGCTTTGCCGAGCTGCAAGCAGATTATGAAAATCTGCTTATAGAATTCGAAACTCAAGTTAGTTTTTTCCTTCTTCATTTTTTATACGTGGTGACTGTGTTTAGGCTTTCTTTCTCATCACTAGCCTTTTCACTCTATAGAGGATAATGAGTGACATCCAAATTGATCAACTAATGAGGAAGCTTGAGGTGGCTGATCAGAAATGCAAAGAGTGTGCTGCACAGAATATAGATTCTTTACCCCATAAAGATGGAAATGGAAGTTTGAGGGACTCAGATGCTATACTTGTGATCAAGCAGCTTCAAGAAAAGGTTTTCCCCTCGTGTATTGCTTTTGTTTTCCAATGTTCTCTTTGTCTTCCTTCATCTAATTTCTGCTGAGTAGAGAATATTGTGGATAAGTGAAACAAGTGAAATACATAAGTTTCCTCTTAGAATCTTATGTGCTGAAAACCATATTATAATTGATATGCAGATTGCTGTTTTGGAGATGGAGAAATGCTCAAGCCAGAAGCAATTGAAATCTGTAGTCGATTTGGCAACTGAGCAAACTATATCTGCACAGGAGAAATATGAAAAGGTTCATGTTCTGACCTTCAGAAGCAATCGAACAATTCCTTACTATTGTATGGATGAGAGAAATTTCAGAGCTTTGATATTGTCATGTAATTGAGTTAACAGAGTTGAACTTTTTCTTAATTGTATTATCCCTACCGGTCCTTTTTTTTACACTACGGTTGAGTAGAATCTTGGTTTATTCTCTTCTGTGGTTGAATCATCATTAGCTCGAGGTGCTCACTGGTGCATATTTGTTAGTGAAATGGAGATCAAGATTGACCAGGGTTTATTGCTTATTTAGAGCTTAAATTTAAGTTAGAATTTGTCTAAACAGAGGTATAGATATGGATTAATGGATAGTGAAATGTGATACATCAATTGAAGAAGATTCCTCTTAGCTTGGCACTTGGCAGGATTTATTGAAGCTTGAGAAACTTTCTGTTGTGACCTGAGATTGGTTGGTTATGTAATCATAATACATTTGAAGTTGCAATATATTACTTATGTGCTATACTTTAACGTTTAATACAGCTTTGTGATGAACTAATGCTTGCACGAGAAGAAGCAACTCAAGCGAATGACAACCTTGCTCTGGCAAATCCTTGCATGGTAGCTGGCTAGAGGTTCAGCATATGCATGAGTTTCTGTTCGGAATTTGTTTCAAGGAATTTATTGTCATTAACCATTTTCCAGGAAGAATCAAATTGGTTGGTCAGTTTATTAACGGAGGCTGAGGAAATAAAAATGGAATTTGAAAAGTCAAGGCATATTATTTGGTCGCTCTCCTCTGTAGTGGATGACCTTCGCAGTTTCTTATCTGTGACGCCAGACCTGATTCATGTCAGTGAACACTTTCTTGCATTTTTAACTATGATTCTGCACAAAAAGAAAGAATTTAGTATGCTTGCATAAGGGGAACGGTTTACTTCTTTACTTATGCACTTAATGCTGGAAATCATTCCTCTCATGTAGCAAAATGTTATTTGGGGCGATGTACAAACAACATTAAGATGTTATGATTTACTATTATTGATCCATTATTTCGTATTGCATGTGCAGGACCTTCGACCTTCTGTTTCCCAGACAATGGTTCAAATAGAGTCGTTAGCAAGGAATCACAATGAGGCACAATCTTTCTTAAGGAACAAAGTTTCTGAACTTGAAGATGAAAAAGTATTTACTGTAATTTTTAGTCTTTTCTTTTGTTTTGCATGTTCATATTTCGGAACTTTAACTGATATTGCTTATTGTTGTTGAGATATAGCTTGTTCTTATCAATCAAGCTTCAGATCTTCATAGTCGGATAGAAGAATTAAACTCAGAAGTTCGAGAATCTAGAAATGCATTCATGGTGAGTTAATTTACTTCATTTTCACCTTTTTCTTGTTTGCATAGTCAGCAATTTTTACCTTGCCGATTCTTTTCTGAAGGAACTTCACGAGAAACAGGAAGCTGAAAAGACAGAATTTCAGTGTCAATTTCAAATGCTCCAAATGGAAATTTCTTCCTTATCAACATGTGCCTTAGCGAAAGAAAAAGAAAATATCAGAAAGGAATTGGAGAAGACAAAATCAAAACTAAAAGATACAGAATTCAAGCTCAAGAATGCTGTGCAGGAGAAAACAAAGCTCGAGGTCTGACCCAATTTTTTGACTTATTATTTCCATATGCTTTGTTGTCCTGAAGTTTTGCTCGTGAATGCACTTTGCTTGATCTCAGGGTGAGAAGGCATGTGCAGAGAGAGAACTTAAGAAAGTGCAAAGCCAGAAGGCTATGCTTGAGCGTGACATGAGCAAGCGCGAGTCTATTATTGGCAGAAGACGTGATTCAATTATGGACAAGGGCTCAAATATTTTTGATTATAAACGTAACAAAGGGTCTAATTTGGCTGAGCTGGAGGTGATCAGATATATGCAAATGAAATATTATACTGTGTACAGAATTATTGCTTCAATAAACAGCATTATATTTTAGCAAGTCCCTGACCAGCATGTTTTGAGCGGGTGAGAGCTTGGAGAAAATAGTTAGAAAGATCTCATAGCTGGGTACCATATGTAAATTAATGTTTGATCGTTTTATGCTCGGATAATTTTCATTAGTTCCATGTAGTTCTTTGAGGGGAAGGAATGAAAGAGGATAGAATGCATTTTTCAAACTTTTGATTGTTTGATTTATTTATTGTGCAGTATGTTTGTCTTTCCTTATAACATTGACCACCATAGGTGCTGTCTTTCTAAATAGGAGTACAAGAAGCTGGAAGTGCTTGCTTTCGAGATGGAGGCCACAATCGCATCTTTAGAGGACCAGTTAGCAACAGCAAATGAGGAAAAAGATATAGCCACCTCCAGAGCCGAGAGTCTGGCTGTCGATTTGCAGTCATTGTCGGATGAATTCTCATTATCAAGTTCAAAGTCGAGTGCACAGAAGGAAGAAGTTTCAGTTCTTGTAGGCTTTTGTAGATTGAAACTCATGTTTCTAGAAATTATTTGCTATTTTAATGTTTCACTTATTTCCTTGAAATGCTTATTAAACGTTACTAATTTATTTAAGTTTTATCTTGACAACGTTTCAGAGAACATGCCTGGAAGAATCTAGGTCTCATGTAGTGGAATTGGAAAGTTTACTAAAAACATTATCAGAAGAAAAGGAGGACTTGTCAATGGTATCCTAAAAAATAATATTAGTTGGAACGCTTTTAGCAAATTAATTCTTTCTTTGATGCTAACTTTTACTTTTGCTCCCTGCAGCAATTCACTGAGGCCCTTTTGGCTATGGAGGAGGAGAAAGCAATATGGTCATCCAAGGAGAAAGCTTCTTTCGAAGTCATTGAAGAAAAGGAAAAAATGTACACTTCTGAAATTGTTTCAGTATCACAAAAGTTGTCAGAGGTAATCTTTCCTAGACACTTGGCACTTATGATATTTTCATTAAAAGAACTCGAAGATTTTATTTTGTTTTTCTATGGTTTGTATCTGGATGAGGGTGCCCTTTACTTCTGTGACCTATATCTACTGTATCTCATTGTCTAACGAAGTTGACATTTATTTACAATTTGGCGCTGTTAGGCAAGAAACGAATTGGAGGATTGTAGGAAAAACTGCGAAGATCGTGAGCAGTTGCTACAAAAGTTGGAGGAAAATGCCGCATTGCAGAAGCAGTGCAGGTTTGTCTTGCGTTGTGATGTTTATTTACAAAATATATTAAGAAGTCAACTTCTTTGTAAATGAAGATTTTACCATCCAAAATCTCTCCACTGATTCTGTCGTTTTTTCTATGTTGCATGGGCATATGATATGACTTGTTTGTCATTCATTCTAATGCTCAGATGCTTTAGTGATAAATTATCGGAAATCAGCCCCCCAAATGAACAAAGTGTTCCCGATGATCCAAGCAAAAGGTCTCCAGAGGTAAGATCTTATTTTCGTTGCTTCTTCTTTGTTCTTACCCAGAGCTTTGGACTTTTTTAGCTTATTATTATGAATGGACATCAAAACATTCTTTCAGATTTCTAATTCCCAACTGAGCTCTGAGTGTCAAAACCCATACGGAGAAATTGAAGTCTTACGATTGGAGATGAGTGGTCTTAGAAAGGAAAGGCAGTATTTATTGTCCCAGGTTCAAGAATTGGAAGCAAGGCAGCCTGTATTGCAAGATGACACTCAGGTTTTAATATTTTCTTCACAACTAAAATCAAGAACTATATTCACTTGCCTGGAATCTCATTTACTGCCTTTCAAGGAGAATATTATGTGTAACCATTTACAAACTGGACCACTTTTTTGATAACGCTCAAGCGCAAGAATAAATTTTCTAGTTATCTCATTGTATTATGACGACGGAAAATGCCAATCTAATTAATTGTGGTTTTAACCACAAATCGGTCACCTGATAATAATTTATAATATTTTGCAGGTAATTACGTTAAAACGCGACCTGGAGCAGCAGAGTTTCAGACTTACTAGCATGGAAGAAAAGATGCATAATGTAAGGGGTACCCTTTTCATGCACACAGAAGCTTTTTAGCTTGATAATATAAATTTAAAAAAGAAGCACCCCACCACAAAAAAGTGTAGGTGGCATTTTAATTTCATGTTATCTGTTGCTTTACAGATACAATTTCCTCTTTTGTCAATAAGCTATATGAATTCTTTATTTTTGGATTTATTATTATTATTGTGAAAAATATACGATTCATCCTTTTAAGAATCACCAGGATCGGATTAATAGCGACAAGGAGAAGATGAAACTCAGGATGAGACTCCACTGCACTCAGGCAAAACTCGACACGTTTCGCGTTAGATACCGGGAGTCGGTGGACGAGTTAGAATATATGAACAGGAAATTCGAGTCAGCTTCTAAGAAGCTAAAGAAAGAGTTGGCTATGTATGGTACTGAAGTTTTGCACCTGAAGAAGCAACTTGCTGGTTTTAAAGGACAATGACAAATGCCCTTTATTTTTTTCCTCTCATTCATTGTAACGACGTAATTTCAAAGGTACTTTTGTTTTATTTTGATTTTGATTTTGATTTTTTTTTTTGAAAAAAAAATTGTTCTGGCAATGGTGGCTGTTAGTGATAGGAAAACAAAGGCTGTATATTATATTACTAACTAAATTTTCAATGTGTTGTAAACTGTAATTACTTCATCTGATCATACGAAATTGGTATATTTATTGATTACCATCATATGGTCCATAGCTTACTTTGAAATTATCTTCCAGTAATTGTTTTGTACGTTGATGAGTTAATTGTTAAAGGGCTACTCGTGAGATTACCATCATATATGAGGTACCACATATATGAACAGTAGTTAGAACAATTAAATGAAACGAGCCCACTCGTGAGATTGTTTGGCTCAGCTCATTAGGGTTAGAGCTCATTTAATTTCGTTTGGTTAGGAGCTCAACTCTATAAGACCTGAATGAATTTGTTTATGAAATTTTTTGTAGTTTAACTCATTACAGCTCAATTTGACATGTTAAGCTTTGAGCTCAGCTCGTTAATCTATCTATAATCTATCTATTTATAATTTATCTATATCTATAATCTATCTATAATCTATAATCTATCTATATCTATAATCTATTCTATAATCTATCTATCTATCTATCTATAACTCCTTTAAAAGTATGAGTTGTTTTTTGAAAAATTTGAAATGCCCATATTACCCTCTACAAATCTAGCTTTTAAGTACATAAATGTAATTTCATAATATTAATAACATTTACTCCTCCACAAATAATTTTATACTGTTACTTTGTTACTAATAAATAATATAAACAAATAAATTGTTTCAAATAATAATACATTTACTCCTTATAATATAAACAACTAAAATTGTTTATTGTTTCAAATAATAATACATTTACTCCTTATAATATAAACAACTAAAATTGTTTCAAATATCAAATAAATTTATTTATCAATTACATTTATTTATTTAATTTATTTTTATCAAATATAAAAATATTTATGCACCTTTCACAATAAAAAATCCCAGTAAAAGCTTTTTCTAGGACCATCAAATGAAAAAAAGAAATAATATTAAATAAAAAAATATATGAAGTTATACCTGACAAGAAAACAACAAACAATTGGCAAGACAACAAAAATAGCACAAGCTACAAGAATCCAATGCATTAATCAATTATATGCATACCAATTTAATAATTCCAATTTAATGCCATATATATGATTATTTGATATGTGATAAATAGTTGTAGTATATTCTATCTTCAACGTTGAGAATGTATTCGTCTCTTAATTAAAAGTGAGAAAATGAGTTACAAATCATTATTATCAACACTAATATAAGATATATTTTTTTATATTAATTACAGTTGAATGGTCGTGAATGTGCACTGTCATTTTCAAAATTTAGTAAAAACACACTGAAGTAGTAGATATCATGTGTAATAATTTTCTACGATAATAATCAATTTTTTATAAGTAAAAATATAAATATTATGAAATACACAATCTACTTTCTTTTTTAGTTTATCAAATTAAATTAAGCAAAATAAATTTAACTCATTTTGTTTTACTATGGGATTTTAAATCCTTAGAATAATTAAAATGGATTGAAGTTCAATTTTGAAATAACTATCTTATAAGAGAAAGTTGTTTGTTTGTCCCATTTTTATTACATTTTTCGTTGTCTTTTTCCCGTTCTTTTTCCTCCGTATTGAGTCGTTTAGGTGGTTTTAGGATCTTTTTGTCATCTATTATGTGTTTTGCGTTCATTTAAGTGTTGTGGTGTTTTCCGTTTGTTTTCCGGTATTTTTCTGTTCTCTTTTCGTTTTTGGTGTGTAGTTTAGAGATCCTGGGAGAACAGGTTTTCAAGAATCTTTTGGATAAGCTGACACCATTAGAAAGAGGGGCTCGTTAGCGATGCGTAGGAAAAAACGGAACTCAATTCCGAGTCCAAACGAGCCCGAACGAGCAAAAACCGTAAGATGGTGCAGTGCAGCCCAGTTTTGTTCGCCGCGGGCCGCGACCCTTTTCTTCACCGCGGGCCGCGGCGAACAAAATCTGACAGGTCCCAAAACTTCAGCACAGAAAATGTCGCGGCCTCGGAGCAAGTCGCGGCCGCGGAGGCTTTCTTCACCGCGGCCAGCGGGAATCTCCGCGGCCCGCGGAGGGCGCGATTCCAGGTTTTTAAAACAGAGATTCTTAGAGGACGGGGGCATGGGGACTCGTTCCCAGACCCAAAAAAATCACCCAAAACTCATTTTTTCCCTTCTCTTACCCTAAGAACACCATCTTGATCTACTTTTTCACTTGGATTTCTTCATTGCTTAAGGATTAAGCTTGTTATTAGATTCAACACTTGAATTTTGGATTGAATGTAAGTTCTTTCTCTATCTAACTCATGAATAATGGTTGATTTGAGAGAGATGATTATTGGTGTTGAATTTATCTTGCGTAGCTAGTTCTTATTGCTAGGGATAGGGGATGATTGTTCTTGTCTAATTCGTATCTGTCGGGCTTGATTTATTCTTTCTTGTGCGAGTTAATTCGATTAGGAATTAATGGATTCTTACTTGATAATTTGATATAACCTAAGAGTGACACTTAGGTTAATTTATTGATATAATCAGAGAGTGACACTTTGATTTTGCGATTGAAACGATCGAATATTGATTTGTTGAGTTAGGGTTTGTTTATTCTACTTGATTAGTTGATTAAACACCTTCTAGTCTAATTAGCGACTTTTAGAACCGAAAGGGGAGAAGTCGTAGACTTAGGCTCGCACGAGGTGGACGATTTCGTAACTGAATAGTCTATAAGTTTTGGGTTGAAATAAGTGCTTGTCGATGACCCGTCCCTTGTTACGAAAAGTTATTGAGATGAGATAATTGGCCTGTGTTATATGCTCGAGTTTGTTCATCTATGTTCAATCCCTTGTTACGAAGAGTTATTGGGAGCGAACCGCTAGATGTCTGAGCGAGAGTGTCAATCTGGAATAGAATGATTTATGTCCCGGCTTGCGAATAGAACTTGAATTGATTATCCCCGACTCCCTAGCTTCTCCATCTTTGTTTCGTTAATATTTTTAGGTAGATTATTATTATTATTATTATTTTGTTTCTTAGTTAATAATTCATCCAATCTGCTACCTGATTAAAGTGTTTAGGATTTATTTTCTTTTTATGTGATGTCGATACCAAAGTTGAATTCCGAACCGCCTTCCTCGTGAGATCGACCCGGGGAGCGAATCTTTCGATTCGGTACTCGGTAAAAATAACAATTTGTACTCAACATTGTTTCTTGAAAAGATTGAATTGCCGAAAATTTCATACGCTATAATTAATTTCATACGCTATAATTTATTATCTTAAGATTATTTTATTTTATTTTTTACCTATTCAATAATTTAATTTCTTTTAGTTGAAATAAAGACGTTAAGATTATGTAAACAATATATAAATTAGAAATAAAAAAAATTGAATAAAAATTATGGAAAATATAGTTTTTGAATGTAAGAGAGAATATTATTTTAAGGTTTTATAAGTAAAATAAGGTTTATTTTATACTTTACCGCTCACCTGCCCACCGTGGGCAGTGCCCACTTTTTTGTCTTATATGAAAAACGTATTTTGAGAATATGTTTTTCAATTAAATTTAATTGAAAAACGTATTCTCAGAATACGTTTTTCATATAAGACAAAAAAGTGGGCACTGCCCACGGTGGGCAGGTGAGCGGGACTGTTATTTTATAAGTGTAAAATATATAATGCACCAATAAAAGTATCATTTCTAATTTACAAATATTAAATTTTACTATAGATATTTTTTGTTATAGAATTAAAAAAAATTAAAGAGATACAATTTAGTGAACATGCATGTAGAATTATTTATTTTTCACTTTTTGGATAGTCTTAAAAATCCATGAACGAAAATGATAATGCATGCATGACAATGTTAGGAGATGTAACAATATTTTATTTTGGACACTATATATAGATAGGTATTAGGTACCTTCAATCAACCAATGTTACAACTTACAACAATTAATATAGATAGATGGGAACCTTTAATCAATCAAATATGTTATTATTCCTAATAATTTTCAAGTATTTTTTTTTTAAATAATTTCGACTTTAAAGATTTTTCAAATATTTATATCTCTTATATCATTATATGCAGAGACAAAATATATATCTAAATATTACGAAATATTACACATGCAAATTTAATTTAATTTGCAACAGTTATAATCAAAATAATAGAGAATGAAACATTCAACCATATTGCTAGCTTCCAATCAACAGTAAGCAAATGATAATTACAAATTATAGTTATAGTAAATTCGAGGTATTTTTCAAATAGTAAGACGCAAAAGGAAGACATTAAAAAATTATTATTTTGGCAATAATAATGATCATAATTTTAAGCATTAAGGATGATATTACTAAGACTCTATTGTGTAAATGTCATTGTCGCGGTGTACACTATGGAGGAATAGTTCAAGGCATTATGTCCACTAGGCCGCCAGTGCATCCGATGATGTTTACTAAGAAAGATTCAAAGCCAAAAACTACCTTTTCTGATGCAATAGAGTTTTGTGAGTATTGAGCACACTAGTCTATATATATATTTAATAAAACTCATGTGGGGGGATTGTAACAAAATATTGAGTTTAATTAAATATGTGGGTCCCATCATTGTAGTTTATTAAAGCAAATTGGCAAGTACAAGGCTTTATCTGCTCACTTCCCCTATAAATACTTCATTCGGGCATAGGGAAAAAACGCACCAAGAAGAGAAAAAGAGATGAAAGAAAGAGAAAGAGAAAGGAAATAAAAGATTGATTTATGTCCAAATATCGGATATAAAAATATCAAAAGAAAAGAAACAAGTATATTTTTATTTATTTTATGATATTTATTTTATTTTTAAGTGCTCAATTCTCGACTCCGTTCTAGTTCGCCGGAGCTCGTAAATCTGGTGCGCAACTGATTTAGAGACGTTTTCCGTTGTATCTTTGGGGAATTTACGCCTGAACCGTTAGCTGACACACGAGGCGTATTCTTCTTGCGGAAAGAGTTTTACTCGCTGACATGCATCATTTTTACGTGCATTTTAAGTGATTTACGTGTCTGTTTCGTCGTAATTTGATATATAATTAATTATTATTTATTTAAATATTATTTAATTAATTATTAATTAATTAATTTTATTAAGCTATGATGAAGTGTATTATTTGAGTTCTAACAGAAAATAGGTTTGGAAACAGCGAGAATTGATCGAAGACAGTGTGCTAATTATGTGTGAGGAATTTACACTGCTTACCCATCTATATAGTTTATATTACATATATGTAGTTAATAAATATTTATTTGCAAATATACTAAATTCATCCTATTTATTTACACTTATACCAGATTTTAGATTTATTAATTAGATTTTTTTAAATATAGAAGGGATACTTAATCCCTAATATCAAGGACCTAATTTATCTCTTATATTCATCCCTTATCTGGTACTATCTTCTTTCATCTTGTTCTACGGGATCACCAAATATTTGTGCATGAATGTTCTGTTATGGTGCTGCTAGTAAAATATACTGAACATAAACAAAAAATATACTTTTATTGCATATATAAAAATAAACTGTTGAACAATAAACCAAACATATTAAAACTACGCAATTTATTTCTATGAACAAATACCAAAATATACTGCACATATACTTTCTCTGTGACAACACCAAGTTATTCATCAACAAAAAAATGAATACCAAAACAACACATGTACATAAAATATACATAAAATATACACTCGAGATTCTCGTAATTCAAGCCAGCGACAGATCGGGACACATAAACACATAAAATATACTTTAAATATACACTTGAGTTTCAATCGTTTCTCAAAATCGATTTCAAAATCCACATATACCTAAAATATATCTAAAATATACACTCGAGATCACGTAGATGAGACGAGCAGGCAAGAAGGACCTTGACTTCTGGGCTTGTGGCCGGAGAAACCCTTGTTTTGCAGCCAGAGTGTGCCCGTCTCGCCGTGAATGGTCTGGTGCTCTTGGTACTCGCCGGAATTTGGTGCATCTCGGGTGCCCTCGAATCTCCTCGCCTGAAATCGGGGTTTCTGGTGCTCGTGGATTGACGACTCGCATGACTTTCTTGTTGCTGGAAAATAGTGACCTCCTTGCCGAGGAAGATGACGGATTTTGAAACTTTCTGAGAGATTTTATTTTATTTTTTTTTTTCGCGAAGGGGACGGAGATTTGTAACCTTCGAATATGGAAGGAGATCTGTAACTGATTTTTATGCAACAATGTAATTATTTATTAGCTATTAGGTATATACACAATTAATTGTGTATGAATGGTAATTTTGCAATATTTTTGCAATCGTACAGGAGAAGTGAAAATTTCCCTTATGTGTTGTGACTAGCCCAAGAGGTTAAGTTGAAACTGGCCCATTCTTGAAAAGAAGACCCAAAGATTGGTTGTGTAGCCCATTACACATTCAACCCAAGTTTTACTTAAGTGAGGGCATGTTGGTCATTTCCATGTGCATTAAATTGGAGCCATCTTCTCCCTCCCATCACGTACGATGAGAAAACCCATGGCAGCCACTAAAGCTTTGAGAAGCTTTTCACCTGACGTTTCGACACCACTGGAAGCTTGAAAACCGACCTCCTCCACCTGCTATGGTCACATGAGAAGACGCCTCGAGGAGCTGCGCGTCCGTCGGGGAGGACCTACCATTCCGGGCTGAGAAGAGCTGGCCGGAACTCGTCGGCGCACCACCTGGACGCCATGTACGACCACCGAGAGATGCCTGAGAACCCGTAGAACACGCCAGGATCTGAGAACAACAGCGAAAATAGAGTTTCAGCCACATTTACGACACACGACGTGTGAGCTTGAGACACGGGTCGTGTCGTTCCAACGGGTCGTGAATTGGGCTCTTGACTCTTTCACACGAGTCGTGTGACCCTGGGCGCAACAAAATTTGGTTTTACGCGTTTTTCCTATTTTGACGAGTTTTTCGACCTATTTCGACTAGGACTCGACCCCGACTATATATATAATACTTGGACACGTTTTTGGGGAGTCTTGGACATAATTTTCAGATTTTTGGAGACTTTTGGAGACTAGAAACACAAGCAAGACGAGGGAGAAAGCCGGGAAGAAGAGATCGACGGAGCCGTATAAGCTTTTTCTTTCTTTTTCTTTCCTCTTACGAACTCAATGTTTTATATTTATTCTTCCTATTGTGAAAGCATGTTTCTAGGCTAATTTTATCTTAGATTCTAGGATTTGTTAGTACTCGGATTGATTTATGATTCAGTTTTTATTTCTTTCATTCTGGTTTATCTTTCGTTTATTAATTTCTTTTGCTTATTATTATTGTGTGAGTAGTTGGCCACTATGAACGCATATTTGTAATCAATTTGAGACCCGAGAGGAGATAACTGATTGCTAGAATTGGAAAATTTATAACGTAAGAGACTAAACAGACCGAGAGTTTGATGCCCATGGTCCTCAGTGAGGAAAGGACCTAGAACTGAGAAGGGGGGACCTCTAGAAGAAGCAGAAGCGGAGATGGGGATTCTGCACGTAGTCAACTCATGCAATCTTGCGAGAGAACGAAAATCCTAGGAACTTATGGGAGTTAGTTGTTCATCTTGAGACCGAGAGGAGATAAATAACAATTAATATCTACGTTGGGTTGTCTGGCTTTTGTTGTTAGTAGAATTTTTGAGTTGTTTTTCTTCTCTGTATATTTTATTTGTGTTGCGGGCTGCTTTCTTTTCTATTTGTTAGGTTAGTGTAGTGGGCTTGTATTTGGTGTATTTTGGTTTGTGGCAGGTTTTGCTCTTCTTAGTGTTAGGGGTTGTTTTTGTTGCTTTTGGTTTCTTGGTGGTCTAAACCGGGTAAAGGATCCGGGGTATTAGTCCCCGCTTAGCCGTGTTGCGGGTGTTTGTTTCTAGACCACTGTTGAAGTGTGTCTCCCAGTGTCTGTTCATTTTGGGTTGTATTCGGATTGACGTTCTCGTCTATTTTATTGGAGATTTCTATCGTTAGGAAAAAAAAAAATGAAAATATTTCCAATCATCAAATGTTACCGTTTCGATAGCATTATTCAATAGAATCCACAATGCTTGCACTTTTTATCTTTAAACTCTATCAAGGAAATGTAACTACTCATCCTGATGTTTATAACAAGTCAAATAAACAAAGAGAGAAAAGGAGAAAATAATATCATAACTGTCATGATCCGATTTAAAATTACCAAAACAGATATAGTGATAGATCATAAAAAGACAAATACAGAAAATGTTGAGTAATTTAATCATCAACTATAAAGAATTTTAGATTTACACCAATGGCATCCAACACAAAAAACTAAAGCTAAATCTTTAGAAATTCTGGAAGGGGGAAAATATAGTAACAAACACTCACCTGCCAGACGGTTTGATATTTAGATGCCTCCTCTGCATATCGATATGTTTACCAGGAGCGTGTTGAACAATCTCATATCTAACAAGCATAACAACATTGTTCCTAACACAATTGAAATAATAATAATAATAATAATAATAATAATAATAATAATAATAATAATAATAATAAAAGGACATCAAGAGTTTCATGTGCATTCCATTTTAATAAACAGTAAGTTGATTGCAAGTTTCTCGGTATCAACTCACTCCAAATGTAAAAATTGTGCCAATCAGCCATCAAACAAACAACAAACAATCATTCATCCTCAATCAACTCACAGTTCATCTTCTGAAAACTAATCCTCATCTGATCGAAATCGAAGCCCACATTGTAGTATTGTTGCGCCATCACACCTATGATGTTTACCCCCTCAGCCTTCACCACCGCCAGGCAGAACACCCCCCCATGCCTCATCTCAAACAAGGCCCCCACTTTCATGTCTATATGGGCCCCCTCTCCTAGGTGCAGCGTCACCACCGGAAAACCCACCAAGTCCCTCTCCATCTCCCCCATGTAGCACACAGAGCCCTCCTCATCCTGGAACCGCGCCAGCGACCCCCCGATCAGCCCATCCACCTCTGCCACCAGCGCCTCGTACCCGCTCTCTCTCAGCTCCGTCACCGTGCTCCCCGAGTCCACCACAACGTTAAACTCGAACTCGTCTCCCTTGATGCTCAGTGCCTTCTCCCCGACGCTTATCCCCTCCAGCGTGACCGAGTAGTAGCCGTCCACCATCCGCATGGGGGTCGAGTCTCCCTGGATCACTGCCCCCTCCCCCAGCACCAGCCGGTTGTGCGCGTACCCAAGGTCCCACACATCACCGATACAGTATGAGAACCGGTTCCCCAGTCGGGCCACCAGGTGGTATGGGCTCCGAGCCATCACCCCGAGGACCCCGCCCAGCAAGCTGTCCTTTGTGCTTGTGTTGGCCGCACACCCGAACACGACATCGGGGACCTTTTGGAGCCCACCATTCGACGTGTGGAGGTTAAAGGTGTCGCGGGCGATGGAGCCGTAGCTCGACGTCCCGTCCTCGTACTCGGTGGAGAAGCGGCAGTCGGGACCCTCCTGGACGGTGCCGGGGGTGAAGCTGGAGCACTGGGAGGAGCTGCTGGGGATCTTGGCATAGGTGATGGAGCGGTCGGGGTTGAAAGCATAGGGGGCGCCGAAGCAGCAGTCGACCCAGACGAGGTTGCTCCCGGTGTCCATGGCCAGAAGGTGTGAGGAGGGGGGTTCCCCGATAGAGATATTCACAAGGAAGAGGATTGCATCTTCTGCAACAAACATGGGCTCTTGGATGGATTCGTCTTTACTGTCGTTGTAACGGGGGAAAATGGAGTGGCGGTGGATGAGGCGGAGATGAACGGTGGCGGACGTGTTTATGGCGATGGCCACGAGTGATAATAAGATGACGAGGAGATAGAGAGAAAGTGCCATGTATAATAATGGAGAAGAGGATTTTTATTATATGTGAAGGAATAGAATTAGAAGCTTGTTATCAAATCAATTCACTTGCTTCTTCTTTTTGCTACTCAATTCCTCCCGAGCACACACATATATATAGTATACAAAAGAAATTTCTAGAGTTCACATAATTGATCATGTCCAACTAATTACAACCAAATTCTCAACAAATGACAAATAATGTTAACTAATGACAACCTAATTATTTCTAGAATGTGCATTAATAATTTAACACTCCCCCTTAATGCTCATTCGAATAATTCCAAGTTTTTCACGTAGAGTCTCGAATCTTGGTCGCGGTAAAGCCTTTGTGAAAATATCTGCAAGTTGATCTTATAGTGGCAACATACTTGATCTTTATCTGCTTGTCATTAGTTGCTTCTCTTAGAAAATGATATTTGATAGCAATGTGTTTGGTCCTACTGTGATGTACAGGATTTTTCGCCATTGCTATAACTGTAGCTACAGATGGAGTTTCAACTTGAAAATTTTACACGACTTAAAAAACCATCACAGCAGATCACATATAAAAGTTCACGGCATTCGGACAATCACACGATTTTTCATGAATTAATTACGATTCAACAGCATAATAGATTCAACTTAGACTAGCATGGTGTTGAAGTTGTAGTAGAATGTCAAAGACTATCTTAGCCATTAGTATAGTATGTAGATGGCGTTTTGTGATGTACTGTGCGTCCCAAAGCTTTGCTAATGGTATGTTGTTGGTTGCTTTTGCTCATTGTGAGTAGTAATGATATGTTGATCTTAGCGATCTTACAAATCTCAAATAACAAAATTCCATATACTACACACAAACCATATTACTTGTACACATTAAAAAAAAAAAAAAACTAATAAATACCACTCTCTTTATATGTGCAAATTTATTTAAATACACTTTATAATATATTAGCCCCAAAACTCTGTTTATAATCACATCTTCTAATTTTGAGAAGTATATTACTACTTAAAATAAAATTAGTAATAAGTTCAAGAGTATTATATTAAACAAATGAAGTCGCAGTACACATGAAATCGTCAAAACTATAGTCTATAGATAAAAAAATACTAACTATTAAAAAAAACACTAACATGATATGGTATAGAAAGCGATGCAGTGTCACAGGTGTCGATACTTTCTAAACCAAAACAACATTTTCTGTTTCCGGGTTTACTTGATGAATATCTTATCGTGTTGTGGGACTACTATATTTACGATGGATTAATTTCAATCAATTTGAAGGTCAATTTATAAATACTATTAAAGTTATTATATAATTTCAATCAATTTGAGGGTCAATTTATAAATACTATTAAAGTTATTATATGGATTCTTCATTTTTGGAGAATATTTTAGGTATTAAAAAAGAATATATATTGTTTCAAAATTATAGACTAAACTAGGGCCGTGATGAAGATCGTGTATCCGCCTCAACTCGAATTGCTTGAAACCCGCGCCGACGCCTTGGTCCCGAAGTGATAGGTTGCTGATACGCGCCGACGCCTTCGTACTTCGCGATAGTTGTGAAGAAACCCGGATGTTGGTCTTATTCTAACACGATTTTGTATGTAAACTCACACACAAGAGTTGGTGAACAAACGTTCGATTTTCTATTAATTTCTTCGATATATAAAATTTAATGAGTACAAGGTATTTATAAGAAAAACTAGAAGTCCTATTACAACTATAATTCTAACTAGGAAATAATATCTTAGTCCTAAGGCAACTAAATGTCTTGCATACCAAGACTTAGCAAAATAAATAAAACTCCTAACAATCTAAACAATTCACGCAACTAATCCTACTAAACTAATATCACGCAACTAACTTACGACATTAGTAAATAAATATGTTAACCTAAACAAATACTACCTCCTGTTCATTATAAATGTCGTTTTGACTTTGTGATTCATCTATTTTGTTATGTATCTAGACATTAATCATTTTGTTATGTATCTAGACATATTAATGTCTAGATACATAACAAAATGGATGAATCAAAAAAGTCAAAACGACATTTATAATGAATAGGAGGGAGTATCATATACTAACGCACTAACAAAACATCTAACAATTAATTAATTAAACTAACTAATTTAAATAATAATTAATTTAATTAACAAATGTCTTCGTGCACGCCAAGTCGTCTCGGCCAGCTCGTGTGATCGCGCGTCCAACCCGCGTACTCCTCCGCGTGCTTGGTCGCGCGCTACTTCTCGACCCACGAGGCTTCCCCAATTGCCGCTCGTATCCTCGCACTTGCTCGAACTCTTTATCTTCGTAGACCCTTGCATGCTCGACCCTCTCACCTTGGTTGTCCTTTGCTTGACACTCGTCCTTTTTGACCTTGTGCGATAAGCCCGAGGCCATGCGTGTGTCCACAACTCACGTTGCCTTCCTCGTGAACCTCGCATACGGGCTCGTACTTGTATTTTAGGCCATCCATGTGTGGTTTTGGCCCTTTTTTCAGTCTTCTCGGATCGTCTCGACCATTGGCTCTCGGCGTGCTCGGGCCTCGAAAGCCACTTCCGCATCATTCCTTCCCCCTTCGAATGAGTCCTTGTCCTCAAGGACTCGCCAATTAACACCAGTTGGGGCGTCGCCTCCTCAAGCTTGACTTCCTCGGGCTCTTGAAAATAGTTAATGAACATAAGCGGCCCTTCATAATCCGTCGACTGCTCCACGTACTCGGTGGCCTCCAAGTCCTCAAAATATTTTGGGAATTCAAACGGAAAATTGGGCTGCTCGTCGAAATATCCCGGAAACTCGAACGAAAAAACGGGCTCTTCGTCAAAAAATCCCGGAAATTCAAACGAGAACGTGAGTTCCTCGTCGAAAAAACCTGGAAATTCGAATGGAAAATTTGGCTCCTCGCACCGTTCTTTGATCCGGCCTTCTCCCTTTTCGGACTCGCCTAGACCTTCGTCGGTCCCTTGTTGGTTGCACCACTCCGCCATGCGACTCTGGGACCAAAATTGATCAGTTACCTTGTCCCTGCGGATCGCTCGGTTGCGTTTGGTGCGGCTCTCGGTATTTTTGCGGGACATGCTTTTAGTAAATTCTCGAACGCTTTCCCTCAACTGCTCCAAGGCTTGATTTCTTTCTTTCTCCCATGTCTCCAATTGAGCCCTCCACCCCAAATTACTCATCAACATTTTTTTTTTTTTTAACGCAACCCACACCAAACAAAAAACAAAAAGTTTTTTTTTCTCTCTTTTTTTTCCTCACGTAACAAGTTCTTTTTTT